CGCCAACCAGCGGGCTGCAGCCCACTGGTGGGCCGTGAGAAAATGTTGCTGGGCCGCAGACAAATCTCACCCCCAGAGCACCCCCCCTCCCAAAGCAATTATTCCATGCTGCACAGAAACACAAGGCTGTGTAGCCCACATGGCCTGTGGGAACCCTCCCCGCCCACTCACTCCTTACCCGGCAAACTTGCCTGCTAAACTGCTATTTTTCCTTTTTCTGACCATCATCTGTGTTCTGCTGTGCCAGGAGATTTAGATTAGATGGGAAGCAGGAATGGTTGGATTTCTTGCTTTCTAGCTGGTCTTTAGATCTTTGGCTCTGTTTTTAAGCACAGCCGAACCTCCTTTAGGACCAAAGGTTCTATTATTCAGTGCAGACTCATGGCAAGCAAATTTTATGTGACAGACTGCTAGCCGATGGCAGATAGATCACTGAATGAATCTGTGATTCTGTGAGCAACTCAATCTGCCTGTCTGCTTTGCCTGATTTTGGGTAAAAGTTGCTCTTTTAAAAAAAAAAAAATACACCATGTACATACATGGTGTATGTAAATATTGTGTTGTGAGTTAATTTTGTGAGTTTGCTTGCTAGCAAATTTTATGTAACAGATTGAGCTAGCCAATAGCAGATAGATTTCTGAGTGAATCTGTGATTCTGTGAGCAACTCAATCTGCCTGCTTTGCCTGATTTTGGGTAAAAGTTGCTCTTATTTATAAAAAATTCAATATTTATATAAATATTTATAATATTTACATACAAGCCATGACCAGCCAGTCACATGACCAGCAAGCCACACCCACAAATTAGGCCATGCCCACAGAACCGGTTAGTGGTCCCTGGGATTTAAAATTATGAGTTTGGTGGTCCCTGAGGTCCAAAAGGTTGGCGACCCCTGTACTAGACAATCCCCAGCTTATGAGAAATTGTGAATTATGTCAACAAGTTCATCATACAATTTTTGACGTGCATCAAGGCCGAAAAGATAATCATAATGCATCCATTGAGGAATTATTTTGTAGGAGATCAGATTACTAAGAAGAGGGAGCAATAGTTCGGTGTCCTTTAGTGTTGAAATTTGATCGTTTTCACCACCCCACATGAAGATTGGGATATTCATGTTTCTTATATCATAAAAGGGAGGGGTCATCTAAAGAGAAGAAGATAAACACTTTATTAAATCTCATAACAACTAAATATTGCTACTATTATAATATTGTCCTGTAATATCTCGTAGTTTGAATCATTTAGCTTTGCTACTTCCCAGAGTCTAGGATAGCTCTACCTGACTTATTTTTTAGGATGGTTGTTAATATAATACACTTTTATTGTCATGCTATGTGGCCCTCACTATCATAACATATCTTCTATTTTTGAGCAATCTACCTACAGGCTTTACGACCATAATCCCATAAAATCTGGAAAAAAAAAACCTGTTTAAATTATTAGCACAGTAAGCTTTATTCATTGTCTCCAATTCTCTAAATTCAATTCCTGCTAATTGCTCCTAAAAGAACTTTTTTGTAGTTTAAAAGAGACCCAATACATTCTTTTTTGAATTTCCTGGTAGTTACATCTGGGTAGACTTTACATGTTTGATGACACAGCATTTCATTGATACAAAAATGGACACTCCTGCCTTTAATCAAAATAGGTGAATCCAGGATGACATATTAAATGTAACGGTGTTATGTAAATAAAAAATACAAAAATAGTAAATTTGTAACCACTTTATCTTCATTCTTATTTATCTGCAATATTACTTTCATTTGAAAAAAAATCTTTGTCTAACCTGATTGTATTTTTCCATATTCCTAGAACCATAGTCAAATTCTTTAAACTGCCCAGAATCAAGCACCTGAAAAGGACAAGAGAAAAGTCTCTAAAATCTCTTTTGTAAATTATTTTTTATGCAATTTTCTAAAGCTTCCCATTAAAATAATCTATTTACATAATCCTTTAGAATAAGTTAAGATACAAAGATACACAATAGAAGATTCTGGAACAAAATAACTTTTATGGTAAAAAATTACTTTTCCTTTCTGGTGTTTTTGGATAGATTGGAATTTTAAATTCCTTAATAAAAAGTCAATACTATTAATGATTAATTTCTCAAGGGCACAATTTCCTTAAACTTGTCACAATGCAGCCTATTTTAGCTTTGTAGCTGTAAGTGACTGTCATCCTCCCACACAAACTGTTCTGTCTTTCTGTATTCCCTCCCTTCTGGGAATCTGAACAATATTTATTGCAAATAATACATGGAGCAACTGCCAGAGGTCTGTTGCCCAGCTTGTCTAGTGTGCCAATTGATTAACTGAAAAGTATTGGTATGAATGATTTAGTCCCTTGATGTTATGGAATATAGTAAACTGGATTAGGAGGAGGGAGGGACTGCATTCCAGAAGAATAAGAGGCAGCTCAGTCCAGATATTTTCTGAGAAAGAAGGAGGATGAAGAAGTCCTCCCTAATCATTCTCAGATGATATGTCTAGATACAGACAGTAGGGTGCTTCAGTTTGGCAAGATTTTGTCTCCAGGTGAAGAATAATAAAGAACTCTACTTGGAAGAACCAAGACATGTCTATCCTGATTTGGGGGCATGGCATTTGTAACCTGACAAACAGACGATGGAACATACTTTGCCTCTGAAGAGAACTGAAAAATTTCAATTGATTCAAAATATAGCAGCTTGCTTAATCACTAGAGTAAATGCAATCAACATCTGTGCTGTGGTGCTACTTTGCCAGCGGATTTCCCAACTCCAAATTCACATCATCCTTGGGAGAAGAAGTGTTCCTACTCAGTGGAGGACAGTAGCCCATATGTTTTCTCAATCAGTGCCCTGCCCTTCAGAACCCCACCCTGGTTCACGAGACAAGTAGCATTTAAATGCTTGCAAATTCTTGGACTGTCCCAGTGATAGTTTAGATTAGCTGACAGTTTTTAATGGCTGTTTGTCCCGCGAACTGCCCTAGTCTTTTTGGGTGTAGGCCAGGGGTGTCACACTCGCGTTGTCACGGCATCATCACATGACGTATTGCAGCTTTTTTCCCCTTTTGCTAAAACGGCAGTGGGCATGGCCAGCGCGTGATGCATCCGGCCTGCTGGCCGCAGGTTTGACAGCTCTGGTTTAGGTTCTATAAATAATGGTATAAAAAATTAATACTCAGAAAAGCTAATGGAGAAAACAAAGAAGAATTCATTTTTAATTAACGGGAAATTAATGCTTTAATTTTATTTGAGATAGAAGCATTTATTATGAAAACAGAGATCAAAAAGGGCATTTGTTATTCCCAGTTAGTAAAATTCACATTTTTAGTTTCACATTTCAGAATTTTTACCTGCTTCCAATGTAAGAGAGTTTTTGTTGATGTGCATCCTAATAAATTTGTTACAATGACATCCAGGCGACTCTGAGGAAGAATATTTTTAAAAAATACATTTTCATTTAATTGGTACATTGATGTCACCATTTGAAATAAATTAGCTTGTTTAAAAATATGCAGTAAACATACCATATTTACATTGTTTTCACTAATTCCACCACCGGACAATAAAATATTTGCACAGGTTTTTCTCCATAAATCCATGCCACAAAACCTAGTCAATATTCGTAATATTTGATTAGGTAGCACGCAAATTTCTTTTCTGCCTAATGCAGCCTGTAAATAAAACAATTCAAATCCATTTTCAGTGCCTTTAAACTTTCTCTGTCCTTTCAAATTTGCACATTCCAAGTTTACTTTCAAAATGAGCTATCATAATAGGTGGCTGGGAGGAAGCAAAGACCTGACAGTACTTCTGACCAGTGGTGGGATTCAAATTTTTTTACTTCCGGTTCTGTGGGCTTGGCTTGGTGGGTGTGGTATGGCTTGGTGGGCATGGCAGGGGAACGATACCGCAAAATGGTAAAATCTCCATTCCCACCCCACTCCTGGGGAAACAATACTGCAAAATCCCATTCCCTCCCCCCCCCCACTAACCTGCTTTCCAGCTCCATCCTCCTGTGCAGGACAACAAAAGAAGACCCAGCCAATCAGCTGGGACTCGGGAGGCAGAGAATAGATGGGGCTAGGGCCAGTCAGAGGTGGTATTCTGAACTACTCAAAATTTCCACTACCAGTTCTCCAAACTAATCAAAATTTCCACTACGGGTTCTCCAGAACTGGTCAGAACCTGCTGAATACCACCTCTGCCTCTGACATTTTCCTAGGTCAGTGATGGCTAACCTTTTTGGGCTCCCATGGTGAAAATTGTGCATGCCAGCACCCAGAAGGCAATGTGCGCAGGGGGCCCCACGCCCCCTGCGCATGCACGCATTACCCCCACGTGCACTGCATGACTCTGTGCATGCGTGCAACTCCCGCATGCCCCCGTGCCTCATGCATGCATGCCAGATCAACAAGCGGGCGGGCAGCACGCATACATGTGCAGTGGGGCTTTTCCGGGCAACCTCTTGCCTGCCACTTCCAGCACATGTGCCATAGGTTTGCCATCACAGTCCTAGGTAATGGGTGATGAGCCACAGAACTGGATCATAAGATTATATACAATGCCAAATATCTTATTTCATCATTCAGGGATTGGTGCTGGAAGCTTTAACCCCAGTCCACTGATACCTCAGCTGTTGCCCTTGGTAATTTAGCAGCTCAACCAAAGGTGATATTCAGCAGGTTCTGACCAGTTCTGGAGAACCAGTAGCAGAAATTTTGAGTAATTTGGAGAACTGGCAAATACCACCTCTGACTGGCCCCGCCCCCATCTATTCTCTGCCTCGCTGATTGGCTGGGTCTTCTTTTGTTTCCCTGCACAGGAGAACGGAGCTGGAAAGCAGGTTAGTAGGATGGGGGGGGGGGG